AAATAAAAAAAAATTAATCATAAGCAAAACCATTGCATACTGTTGACTCTCAGACCACCTTCTGTATAAAAAGGAGGCAGTAAGGAGTGACTAAAGATTTGAATAAGACACTATTTATTGTTACTAGTTTAACATTAACATTATCCTTAATAGTTGACTTGTTTGGGAAGGGGGAGGCAGGGCGGGGACTCTTGTTATTTGTTTGTTGAGTAAGCAAATGCACTGACTGTTGGAAAAAAATAGAATTTTTAAAAGTCAGAATCCGTCTCTGCCACCAGCAGGCCCCTGCCCGCTAATTGACAGCGTTTCCTAATTTCTCCTGGCAGAGGTTCTGGTTGTTAAGCCAACAAGGTTCTCAGGATTCATGACACCCTATCAAATGCCACCCCCACAGCCAAATGGCTTTTATTCCTGGTTCTGCACAGGCTGTCCAACGCAGGGGAAGAACAAAGTGTCCCCACCTTGTTTGGAGGTGCAGCCGTTATCATCAAGGGAAGAAGGGGGCTCTGGTGGGGAGCAGGTTAAAGCGTTCAGCTGCTTACCGAGAGCTTGGGTCCCTCTCTGCGTCTTTCTGTACCTGAGAAAGATGTGACAGTTCCCTCGTTACACTGCCATGGAGACGCAGGCTCGGAAACCCTCAGGAGCGATTCTGCTCTATCCTACAGGATGGTTGAGCTGAATTCCGAGTCAGCTGGAAGACGGTGGGTGGGGTTTGATGGGTCAAGGGTGCAGCTAATGAAATATTCACAGGAAGCTGGTTCACATTCACAGTTGAACCACTCGGGTCCTCCTCTGGATGCTCTTTGCACCTGCACAGGTGGGGTGAAAAGGGGTGATTAGACCCCAGCGCTCAGGTCACTGCCAGGCAGCCTTCCTCCCTGAATCACAGCTCTTTGAGAGCTGTCTCTCACTTGGCCCTCTCTCAGCTCTGGATTCGCCTGCTTCCCCAAAGACCCTCTCTGGCCCCTCTAGTCCTCTTCATGCCACCCTCAGGGTAGCTACCAGTCACTGAGCTCACCTGCCTCCAAGACAGGTAGACTTGCAGCTAGCAGCTAGTCTGCAGACAGAGCCCGGGGTGTGCGTTTACACGGGCACCTGCAGACAGGAGCCCATGACAGAGGGGTGCGCTTACATTTGGGTGTTCCTGGATGCTCATCTCCTCTGCACCGGCTCCTCCCCCCTTATGGGGCCTTCACCTCCATTCCTCCCGCCCCCCAAGGCCGAGCAGCGCATCCTGTCCCGCGTGCACTCCCTGGAGCGGCGCCTAGAAGCACTGGCTGCAGAGTCCTCCTCCAACTGGCAGAAGGAGGCCCTGCGGCTGGAGCGCCTGGAGCTGAGGCAAGGCCAGGGCAGTGGCCAGAGCCAGGGCGGCGGCCTGAGCCATGAGGACACGCTGGCACTCCTGGAGGGCATTGTGAGCCGCCGTGAGGCCGCGCTGAAGGAGGACTTCCGCAGGGACATGGCTGCTCGGATCCAGGTCAGGGGAGACACCATGGCCCACGGGTGGGGCCTGCGTGTCTGGATGGACATCCGTGGGGACTCATGCGGGCCTGTCGGGGTATGGATGTGTGACCCGGCACTGGACCCTTGGGACACAGACACCTCTATACTTGCCTCTGCATTCCTCAACCTCTCTGAACATCAGCTTCGTTCCTCTCTAAAATAGATGCCTTCCTGCTTGGTAGTAAGGTTAAAAGATTACAAATAAGGTGCACAGATGCCACCTTGTGCTTCACACTTGGTGCCACGTGGGTGTGTGGGAAGGATCAGATGGGAGTCTGGCATGTTAGAAAAGTTGCAATACAAAGGAAAGAGCTTAAGCTCTGGGATCTAGCTGACCTGGGATTGGGCTGCAATTTAAATTATACAGACCCAAGAGTGCCAGTGTGTAAAATCCTGTCTCCTTGCTCCATGTCTGACAGGAAGAGCTGGTCACCCTGAGAGCAGAACATCAGCAGGACTCTGAAGACCTCTTCAAGAAGATTGTCCAGGCATCCCAGGTCAGGAGGATCTCGCCGTGCCTACCCAGGGCCAGCAGTGGGGTCCTGATCTAATCCAGCATCTGTTAAGTTGTCTAAGACACCAGGGACTCTGGGCCTTTCAAAGTGGCTGCTTAGAGCTACAATGGCAGCAGAGGGTGACCGAGTTTTCTATTTGAATCAAACTCACCCCCATGGAAACTTGAGGCCAGGGTGGGCTGCTTTCAGATGGCCTGTTGTGCTGGGTATAGATATGCTGAGTCTAAGTGAAAATATGAACCTGTGTGAGATAGAGATGGATGACTCTCTCGTGGGAACTGTGACAAGGGGAACTGGTTGCAAGTTCACAGTAGGACATAGGGGTGGTGGTCTTGGGGGGAGGAATGTGATTAAGCAAAAATCCCAACATTAAACAGACTCTCCTGTGGGAGATGATCCCTCTGAGCTTGCTCTTCCCCGTGTTTGTTCCTGCTTCCAGGAATCTGAGGCTCGTCTCCAGCAGCTGAAGTCAGATTGGCAGAGGTAAATGGCCCAGGTCTACTCCTCTCCACTCCCCAGGCAGAGCTTTGACTGTGTCACTGAGCTGAGAATGGGATGGTGGGGACAGACCCCAGATTGAGTGCTGAGAGCCATCGTGTGAGGGCCAGTGGAGCTTAGTGGAGGTGGCAGATGGTGGGTGGGCACAGCAGGAACACTGTCCAGCCTACAGCCTGCCCTCCTGTGGCCCGACTGTAGACTGTGCAGGAGGTTAGAGGTAAGGGGCTTCAGGGCTTAGAGAGGAGACAGGCTCATGATTGGCTCTGTGGGGTGAGTAAGTCAATGCATGGGTCCCAGGATGAGTTCTGCAGCCAGAGAGTCCGAGGACCAGACTGGGTACACACCCCCTGTATCACCAGTCTTCTCAGGGGTGTTTTCCTTGGCATATCCTTCTCTTGTTTTAAAATAAGCCACCCAGGACTTACTGCTCTCTCTTTGGGACCAGGACGACAGAGGAAACCTTCCAGGAGAAGTCTGTGAAGGAGTTGCAGCGGCTGGAGGGCCTGCTGGCTGGCCTGCGGCAGGAGTTAGCTGCCCTGGCCCTGAAGCAGGGCTCCGTGGAGGACCGTGTGGACCAGCTGCCCCAGCAGATCCAGGCCGCACGCGATGATGTGAGTTGTCACCTAGGACTCTCACGCAGGTGTTAGCTGCTCCCAGAACACCCTGACCTCTGACACCAACAGTCCTGGGAATCTACACAGCGGGGCCTCTTGCCACCCTCCCCCTACCTCTGTTACTCCCATGAGCCTCTGGAAGAGGTACAGCGTGGGCCTGCTTTGATGAGAACATGTTCTGTTTCCCCCTGATGTTCAGGGAGGGTCTTCATAGCTCCTGCCTGTGTGGACCCGGCAGACACGGGCTTTGCCCTCGCTGAGCCCACGTCACCCTAGGCCCAGGCACTGCCGGCATCGGGTCCTGTTCTCCCGAGCACCCTGCCTGACCGAGACCTTGCCTTGCTCCCAGGTGGAGTCTCAGTTCCCTGCCTGGATCTCCCAGTTCCTTCTACGAGGTGGGGGCGCCCGCTCGGGGCTCCTTCAGGAAGAGGAGCTGGACGCCCGGCTTCGGGAGCTTGAGAGCCGCATCCTCACCCACGTGGCGGAGACACAGGGCAAGTCGGCAAAGGAGGCCGCGGCCAGCTTGGGGCTCAGGCTGCAGGCAGAAGGTGTGACCGGGGTGACGGAGGAGGTGAGGACTGAGCCCTTCA